TCCACCACACTTCATGCACAGCTCTCTCTCTCTCTCGCATTCTCTGTGTACTTCAAGAACAGTTTCTCGTCTAAAAATCTGTTTTCTGCATTATTCGCTTGCTTGTTACACACAAGTCTACCGTTGTTTACAGCGCTGTCGGTTTTTTCAAACAGCTAATTAAGCTTAAACGTGCTGCTGTTGTTTAGCATTTCCTCTTTCTGGCGCAAAGTGGGCGATAAACAAACAAGAGAGAAAAGCCGATCAGCTGATCATTGATCAGTTTTATGATCTCCTCTAGCAACAGGAGAGGGAGGGGGAGAGAATGAGAGAAGAATAGACAGCTGTGCAGCTTAAGATGCACAATATCTCCAGCTTTGTGTCTTTTTCCATTTTAGCTGAAGTAAGGGATAAACTGCTTTCCTTTTCAGCTCAAAACAAAACATATATTTTCTCTGAATACGGGACCATTCCATTTTTTAAGGGGCGGTTGGCAACTCTACTAACTAAGCTTATGAATAAAATAAAGTTCACTATCAGTAACATCACAGCACCCACCCAGCTGTATAGAAACTCTGTCATGCTAGCTAGTAAGCAGGACAAGTTATTGTAACTGATTGTAAAAAGTCAGCACAACAAAAATAAACTCCACCTAAACTTGGTTTATATCTTACCCAGATAGACTGCAGGTCATAACTTCTTACCTGAAGTTCAGTTCACCTGACACTCGGACTGACAGCTGCCTCGGGTCTCTGCCTCCTGCCTCCTCTTTCCCTCATCCACCTGCTGGCCTCTGTGGAAGCTCCGCCATAGTCACCACCAAACAACAGAGTTCTTTTTACACATCTGCCAGCATCTGGCCAATCCACCACCTTTCATTGTTTATACCGTTACTAAATTTAAAATAAATAAATAAATAAATAAATAAAAATCTTCGGCCCATAAAAACGAAAAATCACCATCGGCCCAGATAGCCAGTCCAGCTAATGTTGTGCCAGTTAACCCTTCGTGTGCCAGCTGTGGTACACGTGCCCAGGTTTGCCGACCCCTGCTCTAGTCTAATCTTTTTCTTACCTCCTGAGCCAATCAGCCTTCATTCTGCGTAGTTTAAATCTCAGTGCCCTTCTGTAATTCTTCCTTTCAGGCAGCCTGCTAGTGACTTTATAAAGTTGCCTGCCTCCCCTGCATCTCTGCCTGATCCCAGTCACTCAGAGCTCCATTCTAGCTTCCATCTTCATATTCACCACCACCAACATCTAGATTCCTGGGAGTCATGTCCTAATTCTTATCAAATTCGGATTTCTTTCTGCCAAATAGCTTAACTGAATTCTGTATCTCTGCTTCTACCAAATGAGCTCTCTCCAAATATTGTCATGTAGTATGTGCACATGGGTTGAATGTTGTTAAGTTTTGTTGTGAGAGTGGATGTGGTTGTTGATTCTTCTTAGCAGGGTTCCATTTGTCAAAATCCTTCTGTGGAGTTTCTTAGATTGAGAGATTTTCTAAACAGTCATGAATTTTCTCAGTCTTCATAGCCAGTTGCATTTTGTATATGCTATTACAACATACTCTTACACGCATATGTACAATTGGCAAAATACCTTGTTGTAGTGTTGGGTATTATTAATACCAGGTGGTAAAAATAATATTCCACTGAGTGCAGAGTGGCCTTTGTGAACACCTTTTTATGATCCTGCTACTTACCATCATTATGCTTACTATAATATAACCATTGTTTTAATGTTTTCAACAAGTACCTTTATACATTCACACTCAACTTAACTCCTGTGACACAGAAGCTCTTAAGGACTCCACAGTTTACCACTTTGCTTACTTTAATGTGGGTCTGCCTCCCTAACAAGTACCAACATTCAGTTGGTAGCTTAAAGGTGCGATATAATCACAGTCCATGCAAACATGGTACTGAGCACTCAGACAGCAGCACCAATAATTAACCTGTTGTCCTAGATTTTTGTATTTAAAATGAAAGTCTTAGTGATACCTAAGTCAGGTGGAAGATAGTGTTGGTAAAACCCAACAGAAACCTTTCAAAGTACCATTTTTACTTTTTTGTAATAAAATATTATTATAGTGCATTATTATTCTGCTTAGCACTATATTTGGCATGCACACTGGAGCAGACAGGGATCAAGCCACCAACCTTTCAGATTATTAGATGACCTGTGCTACCTCCTGAGTCACACTCACTCCAGTAGTAATGTTATCCCCACCGTCATTTAAGAAAAAAAGTGTCAATAGCAGGCAGATAAAAGTTTACCAACACAGCTAATTATATGTATTGGACTCATAATGTTGTTGGTGCCACAGTTTCTCTGTATTTTTCCATTGTTGAGTAATCCCACTGTTGCATAACTAGAATGTCTCCAAGGTGCTGAAGTCAACTATGGCACAAAGCAATAATGTAATTTTCCAATACAACTCAGCTTGTTTGTTAAATAGTGGCAACAGTCTTATAGATCCCATGTGCTGCTGAGTTACAGCAGGCTAATTAAATAGAAAAAATTATGAATCCTGGTCAAAATAGCTAAACTTTTCTAATAAACAATAAATGCAATTGACTGTGATAATCTGTGCCGTGTTGCCCAAAACATCTACCTTACCCACACTATGTTGTGTTCCTTTGCCAAAGGGATAACGCATTTGTTTTTAGTGATCGAAAAGAAATCTTTATATTGTTTTGTTTTGTTTGTCTCACTGAAATCAGGCCCACTAAATTGTGGCATGACAAAGAACTGCCCATGTTGATATAGTTATTCAACCTCCTGGGAGACAAAGTCATCAAGCAATTAGACTGTGGTGTTGTGGTTGTTCTCACTGTGTGATTGTCGGCGTGCATATGTCTGTAGCTGTTATTCCACAAATGGCCGCACAAGCCGTAATATGCAGGTGGCCTATCTAAGTGCTCCCATTATGCCGTTTTCCCCCATAAGCATGGCACAGATGTTACACCCCTGTGGGGGAACAAACAGCAAAGTAAATGAGGAGAACAACCCATATGTGTGACTTTAACTATATATGATTGTGCGCACACGCACATGCACACACACACAAGCCAAGCTTCTGCTGCATCATATCTTAGGCTAATATGTGCCATTTCTCTAAAACAGCAGGGGTGTTTTGTCCACGTGTAGACACCCGTGCTTATAAAACAAGAGTATGACAGCAGCTGTCAGTGTGCAGCGTGACAGTTATTTTAACTGCTGCATAATGATTAACCGCTATCTTGGTGTGGATGTTTGTGTGACTGATGGTTGGATGGAAAGATCACCAGATGCTGGTATCGAGCATGAAAATGGTCAAAGTGTGAATATCCTTCCTCTCCCTGTAAGTCTTATACAGCCCTATAAAACCTGCTAGTGACTTTATAAAGTTGAGGAGACCTGAGGTTCAGTGGAATATAAGGATATTATACAGAAACTAGAAAAGTTGAAAAATACAGAAAAAGTTTGTGTTCTCTGCTGAGATTTATTTACTGCTGATACACTGCTCTTCTGTGGAGTATCAGCAGAGTTTCATTATTTCATATCTGTTTTCTTCAGGAGAGGAGGAAAGTGTTGTGTATATTTATGGCTCCTATGTATGTGCATATAAAATACTCTTTAGGGCTTAGACTGCTCTGTCAGTTTCCCCAGTTTAGTTGTCAGATACCAGAAGATAGTATAATCGTTATACTAACCTAAATTGAGCATGCATACTTAGCATACTTAATCTCACATCAAAATTCTTCATTTGTATTTTCTGAAGACTATGAGGTTTTCAATAATATCTAAAGAGCGCTATTTTGGCACCCAAAATTAAATAACGCTAAATTTAAATAAAGCTTGTTTTATGCATCATGAAATCAGTTAATCAGTGTGAGTTAATATTTGGTGTAATCAAAACTTAAACATCTGAAATGAGTGTAATACGAAGAATGCACATTGCCTATAGTGGTTGTTACAAAAGACCACCATTCACTTGAGATACCTTTACTGGAATAACATACATGACTCCCTGTAAAAATCATTCATCTGGAGGTGTGGCTGTGCTGTTGATCCTGTCCTTCAACTCGCCTGTAAAAAGATGAAAGCATATCTTCATTGGTGATAGAGAATGATGGTTATAACCATTAACTGCAACTGTAAGGCTGGTATTGTATTCACTCTATGACTGAAATCTGTCATTCTGCCAAAATGCAGGTCTTAAAGACATCTAATGTAGGGAGAAGTACTTTTGAAATCCTTTATGGATGATTTTGCTAATGTGGTAGACAAGCAAAGATTAGCAAAACTTTACATGTGTGTAGTTGGAATGCAAATGAAAGAGTTTGAAAGTAGGTTTGGACAAACACATATTTGATTAAACTGAAGAAAGGGAATTTTACATATACAGTAAATTGCTTTTATCTAATATATTTATATGTTAAAACTAATTATGCTTTCTTGCATACAGTTTTCTTCAGAAGATGTAATACGGCACGTAATAATACATGTAATACTATATTTGTGTGTGATCTTGCCAAGTACAGAGAGACTTGTAGAACAGTTACTTTTGGCAGCTTCAGCCTTATAAAACACCCACAGCTTCACTCACTCAACTTCTCTGCCTGCCAAACAAACTCAAAGAAGAAGAGATCAAAGGAAATCTAAACATCAAGAAACTAGCTGACATGTTGCTGAGACAAGGTGTTTCTGGTTCTGTATGTGTTTTACAAAAGTTCAGCCTGTATAGATTTTTGTAAAAAAAAATAAATAAATAAATAATCAAATGCAAGTTTCCCTTGTTAACAGTCCAATTTTACAATATTTTTATAACAGTCTGATACTCGGTATATATCCCCAAAAATGAAGCTGAAACGTCTCTATCGCTCCCTGGTGTCTGGTTGCAGTATAGGTCATAAACCCCGCCTCCTCCATGTTAGTGAATGGGACGGGGGTCAGACTAAAATAAATTTATTCTCCTCATATAATATTTTTCCAAAGATTCTTTCTTTTGTTTTCAATAGTTCTCCTCATGCTGATTGATGTCCAAAGGGGTCTCCTTTCCCATAAGTTTGATTCTAATTCCTACCGCGGTGATGTTAAATTGGGGTGAAACGTCATCATAGCAGCTTTGACTGGCAGCTGCAGTCACGGAGAAACTTGCGTATCTCTGTTCGGGAATAGCAGATAGAACGTAGGCTCTGAGAGGAGGGCCAGCATTTACTCTACGAAAACATGACCGAGTGTTTTAACCTGACAGCCTGAGGTGTTCTTCAGTAAACTGGACTACCCGACAGAAGGACCCGAGGCCCCGCTGCACTTTTTCGGTAAGTTAAACGTGTTTGTAAGCTAATCTGTAACTACCGTCCTTAGCTAGGTCCTGAGACCTAGCTAGCTAAAATGAGCACTCGGCTGTGGTGGTTCGTTTAGCTAACCCGTGCAGGTGAATGAATTTACCCTGACTAAAGAAATCAAGAGAAACGCTCCGGGCTACTCAGTCACTAATTACTGTTACTGTACTTTTATTACAAGTATTATACTGTAAAAGCAACAGGCTGCACCCTGCTTCAGTTCCTGTGCAGAGCTGAATATTAAAGATGTGCAAAAAACGGCATGTTTTCAGTCTCTTGCCACATCTGTAAAGACAGTAACATTTTTTTAAAAGCTTGTACTTCAGTAACTCATTAATCAGGAACTATGGATTAAAGTACTGTAGTGTACTGTAATACTGAAAAAATGTAAAAGAACTTCAGATCCTGAGTGTGTGAGGACAGAAGAATCAGCTTTATTTCAACTTTGAGGGATAAAATTTATATTTAAGTTTGATGGTTCTGTTCTCTTTGTGATTACAAGGGCTGCCCTCAGATTCAGACCTCAGCACCACCCAATGACAGCAGACAGATCATCCAACATGTTCACATGTTAACTGCAAAATGAACTGATGAAAACAGTACAAAGGTTAAAGTACCACATGTGCTGTAGTGAAAGCTGCAGCTGTTTTATTGATAACGTTAAGGACAAAAAAATAAAAGGATTAATCATCCATGTAACTGTGTCACTAGCATTAACAGGACCTCAGTTTGGTGTTTCACAGAGCTGCTAATCTCAGACCTGCAAAGCTTCTGTTTTAAACACTTGATGTACTCAGCTGCATGAAGAGCACGTTTGAGTTTCTCTGACACAATTAAATAAAACCTGATGAAGGTCAAAGGTCGTCACTTGTATGTTGAACTACAAACTTGTCATCTGGAATTCTTTCACAGTTTTTTGCAGATGGTGTGTTATTTACCATAAAGTGATTCAGAGTTATTCATACCAGAGTAACCAGAGAGAATAATATATTTTTAAATATATAACTTTCTACAGGACTGAATATAATATCTTTATGTAAAAGACTGGAGCCTCTGGGGAGTAATCGAGTATTTATAATATTACACAAACCAAAGGTCTCCATCACAGTGTTCATGAAATGCTGGGTTTATCCATCTCCTGGGGCGGGCCTACAGAGGAGTGCTGAAGATTTCCCTGTGAGGGAGCTGCTGGTAAAGATCATGAGTCCTGCTTGATCAGTGTGATGAGCTTCAGTGTTCCTGGTGTTTCTTAAATGATGCCTCTTACAGTGGGTCAACAGAACTTATGGCACAGGACAGCTGTGATGAAAGAAAGGGAAGAAGTTTCTCCAAACCTCTGGACCTAGAAACCCAGCTTGGTCCTGATGGTCTCCCTCACTAGTTTTGCCCCAGAGTGAATGTAGCTGTTGATATAATATGGATTCTATTATTAAATGAAAAAAACAAATTAGACTACACTACTGAAACGTTCTGCTGATGTTTTTACCAGGCTGTAGAGGGCTCTGAAGATTTAAACAGTTTTAGATCCATTACACTCACAGTCTTATGTTAAAATCTCAAAGGACAGCATTATATTTTTGATATTAACAGTAACTCTGGGCATCTGTGGAGTGTGCAGCTGATCTCATCGCTGTCTAAAAATGGATAAAAAAAACACAAGAAGTGCTGAATCATTCAATAACACAGACTATTAGAGTAACAGGTGTGTAGCATCGCTAACTAGCTAGCAACAAGCCTCCAACACAGTGCGTATGCTAGTGGCTAATCTAGCAAACAAATTAACAACAGAATGATTTTAGATGTTTCAGAACTATAAGACGATAAGCTGTGTGTCTTTTTTTAATAACAGTGGCATGGTTGTATTTACCTTAATTAAACGAGTCGTCAGTCGCGGTAAACCAGCAAAAAACTCGAGCCGGGCTACGTAAAACGTGTAGGGGGGCGTGTTTGCGGTCACACCCAGCGGGTGTGTGGGCGGGACCGTTACACAGTCGCTCCACCTCAAGTCACTACTGCGCAGACTCTGGCTCCAAATTTGCAAGATGGCAGCCTCCACAAGCGGGATATTTTGGCTTCATTTTTGCACAATGGGAGGAGGCGGTGTTGCGTCGTCCATCTTTTATACAGTCATTGAGGTCACCACAGTGCATCATCTGCTTCCACTGTGTTCTATCCACAGCATCCACTTCTGTCACACCAACTCTTTTCATGTCCTCCTTCACTACATTCATGAATTTTCTCTGTGGGTTTCTTCTTTTCCATCTTCAACATGTTTTCTCCAATATGTCCACTATGCTTCTACTCATTCTAATCCTGTCCCTCTTGGTCACTCCATACAAAAATCTTCAAATCTGCCACCTGCAGCTTCACCTTCTGTCTTTGTGTCATTGCCACAGTCTCCAAAGCCCCACCTTCTTGCAAACCTTCCATTTAAACCTCGCTTCTATTCTTCTGTCATAAATCACCTGTGACACTCGTCTCCACCTGCTCCACTTTGACCTAAACTCTCTTCTTCACTTCTCTTGTGCACCTTTGCTTTGGATGGTTTACCCCAGCTAACTTCACTATCTCTATTGTCTATCTCTGTTGTTACCAAATGACATGTTGGTTAAATGTCAGTTTTAAAAAAAGCACACACTTTTTCCTCCATGACATTCCAATCATTTCTTTTTTCCAATCAAATTAGGATATTCATTTAAACCTTAATTATCTTTTGCTCTCTCACTCTTTTTCTCTCGTCAGGCTGGCTGTTGGGCCGTATGTGCAGCAACAACGATGTCCTCGTTGCTATGGAAACGTGAGAGGGTGAACTTTTGTCAGATGCCAAGAGCTTGCTCCAACAGAAAGTGTTGGTTGTGTGTGCATGTGTATGTGTGTCTTAATGTACGTGCACACTTGCACATGGTGTCACCATGAGTATGTGTGAAAGAAAACAGTGTGCTTATCTTTGAAGAAGACTGCAAATCCCCCTTCGGTCTGTCACTCTCACTCCTCCAGCAGCGTGACTCTCTTTCTTTCTCAGCCACACTTTCCGTAGCTTCGATTATCTTTCATTCAGATACACCCTTGCCACATGCTTTCACCCTCCCTGAAGTTGACATAAAGAGACTTTACGTTCTCATCACCTCTTCTGCTCTCAACTCCTCTCCTGCCTGTGTCTTCCTGTTTCCTTCCATGAAAGTAAAACAAGAAAACTTGCTGTGTGCTTTCCTGTATTTCTGTAACTACACTCCCGCCTTGCATTGTTCCATGATATGCAGATTCTCTCAAAGTACAGACTGCATTGATCTTTTCTGTCCTCCCTCTCATTCACCCCATGTCTCCCTCTATCCATTATCCTCCCTTCATTCAACTCTATCCCCCTCCTTCTTTTCTAATGACCTCTTTGCTGATTCAGAGACAATGAAGAGTTATGGCATATCTATATAGCTGTAACGATAATTAGGGGAAAAAAACTATTAGACTACTGAAAGATAAACAGCATAAGTACAGCACAGCAGCTGGTGACAAAAAATGTTCCTCTCAAAGTGTCTCGTCATGCAGCTACTGCAGCATTTTGAGAAAGATTCAGGGGTGAGATCTGTGATTCAGAAGTGTGTGTGTGTGTGTGTCCTAAATTAGGTGAATGACTTGTTGTTGCTGTGTGGATCTGCCTGCCAACACAAAGGCCCTCTCTTCGACTTCAGTTAATCAGTATGCAGCTCCTCTCCACATCACTGTCCTTGTGTTGTAAAAAAATACACACACACACTCTGACACACACATAGATGCAAATAAACGCACACTTCATTGGAATTTTGTTCCTGACTTCACCATTGTCCTTGTGGTATAAATATCACATATACAACAAAGAACACAGAAGCTGAACTGAGTCCAAAGTCCTGAATGCCCGTGTGTATATATGTGGATGTTTTCACATTCGCACAAACTTACTCCAGCTCCTCTCTCACACACACATGCATCCATACCAAAGATATCCTTGTGAGAAACCATGATATTCAAGAACGCACACACACACAAACACACACCCACACACACACATGCAAACACACACACACACACACTGGGGTGATAAATAAAGCAGTGCGAGCTCAGCAGCAGCCCTTTGCCATGTCAGGCTTTACTGATGTGTCGACCAATCCAAGGGAGTGATTCAATCAGGTCTGCAAAGCAACAGCCTAAACTCAGATCTACAATGTGAACACACAGGAAAACACACAAACACAGACATCAACACAAACACAGACACAAAGTTATGAGAAAGTACATTTTTTTCCATCTTTTTCTCAAAATTAGTTTTCTGTTTCTCTTGTTGTTACTATTTTTAAAAAAAGAATCTTGTTCGAATGACTGAACTATTTCTTTTCACTTTTGGCTACACTTTTAAAAGCTAGTTATTGTGACAACACATGAATAGATGACATGTAACTCTTTCACAATGACATTTAAAAAAAAACAGTGAAGTAAAGCTAATTAAGCAGGGTTAGCACAGAATATAAATAGGAGAAGACAATAGTGGTAAAGGTAAAGATTACGAAACACCCTTCTCAATTTTAAATGTCTTTTGAGAACTCAATCATAAATTTAGCTCTCTCAAGTGTGTGCTGTCAGACAAATGAGTGAAACTCATCCTACACTGTGATAGGCACCTTTAAGATCCCACATACGTTTTTAAGCGAAATCTGGACAAACAAAACAAAACAAAAAAACAGCAAACAGCTTCACCTGCTTACCTATAGATAGTCGCATTTCATGAGTGTTTCACATGTATTTTGAACAACCAAAAAAGGAACAAGATGCTGAGGATGTCAAAGTATAAACCCATGAACACAACATTCTCAGGAATGTAAAACAATACGCTCTGACTCTAATGTCATGTGTGTGTGTGTGTGTGTGTGTGTGTGTGTGTGTGTGTGTGTGTGTGTGTGTGTGTGTGTGTGTGTGTGTGGGTGTGTTTCTGTCTTAACGTGGAAGATACAAGTGCAATACATTTGCAAGTCATTCTCAGTCCTTTATGTCCTACTGAGACCCACTGAGGCATAATAGTTCCCTCTGACATACATAGATAACCAACAGCTCCTGGCCACAATCTCGGTGTCAGTCCACTTCAAGCTCTTAAAGACCCTGGATCTGTGTACTCATGCATACTTGAGCATTCATTCACCCATTTAAGAGTTCAAAATGCAGAAAATAAAGATGGTATATCCATGTCCTCTTGTTTCTCTCTAAACTCAACAATTGAACAATATGTGATCAGTCTGGGTGTTGTGTTACAACACAGACAGAGTCATGATAGTAAAGTGAAGGTAAGAGCTTGTATAAGACATTAAGGGAAGTTTATGACATTAAAGCGCTGTTTTATCTCTTAGACACAAAGCACAGTTTAGGTATCCATGACTGTAATCAATAGTTTTCTGCTCTGAGTTTTGGCTCACCATAGATAAGCGCAACATAAAAGCACTATCAACAGCTCTCTGCCATTTCATGTAAACGTGTGCTCTGTTGAGACTACAACACTTCCATCTCATGCATTAAATTATATGTGTCAAAGGGTTAATTGTGCAAGGCAAGGTGCTCTTGGATTAAATTAAAGGTGAAAAGCATTTCTTTAAGGAAAAGCGCTATAATGTGATTAGTATAATCACATTTAAATTAAGCTAGATAGATATCGCCTGGCTGGCACTTCATATTGCAAATGGGTGGCATATAATACAACGATAATACAATGGCTTGAAGCTATACGCATTTTAGGAGAAAATAGGATTAATACAGATAAGCCACAACATTAAAACCAGCTGCCAGGACACGGCTGAACCACTGGATCTCAGAAACAGGATCTATGTGGGGGTGTTCTGCAGTATCAGGATTGCATGGGCTTTTTGTTTACGGCCAAAGATCCTGCCACTGGCTTGTGTTTGGTTTTCAACAGTGTCGTGGTGGGTGGGCCACCACGACCATCACAATTGAAAATTCCCCAACACAACATTGGATTTGTAAAGTGATGATCAGCACTGTTTTCTTAATCATAATGCTGCCATTGTTGTGAGTAATTATTTTTGTTCTGTTCAATATATTAGAAGTTATGTTTCCCACAGGTTAGCAGCAGTCATCTCACCTATAAAACAATAATCTGATACAGAAAGACAAAGAAGGGTGGGGCAGAAGCTTGTTGGGGTCAAAGTATTAGCATCTGATAGAAGTGACATAAAGTATGAGGCCCTCAAAGGGAGATGAAAAGAAAAAGAAAAACAGGTGAAGGGGAGAAAGAGGGCGGCCACCTCACCACCTTTTTCTTTCTGTCTTTTAGAAGCACACACATACACAAATGCACACCATGTCTTTCCTTCTCTCTGTCTCTTACATCAACCTGCCTGTCAACCCTGCCGACCCAAACGATCCATCAAATGCTGCTTCTGCTGCTCCAAGAGATGGAGGGAAGGATAAGGATGTGAGAGAGGACGAAGAGACTCTGGTCAGAAAGAGGGAGTCCACTTACAAAGCTACTTCTGAGATACAAGAAGACAATGGACTGGCTGACCAAAAGAAGGGGCCTGAGGCCACTGAGGAACTGACAAATGTTTATATGTCCATCCCTGTTTTTCATTATTTTTGGTATAACCGCACCTCCTGTTCCCCTTTGCCTAACTACTAATTTGCCTCCATTTCTTTTCACTTTCAGAAAACTGATGCAAGCAAAAATGCTAAATGCTCCAATTAAATGAAGCAGCAATCTTTCTCTGCAAATCCCAAGTGATGTCTCTCTCGCTCTCTCTCGTTTTTTTTTTCAAAACAAAATAATTTGGTGTAATGACCAGTGAAAATTGTGATAAATTACCCTAGCTTTTGCCTTCCGTGCAAGTTCAGATTGCATTGATAAAATATACAGCCTTACATTTTACAGTTCAACCTCTTCATTTACATGTCCATCTGCTCAACTCTTCTCTTCGCCGTTCACTCATTCTTGAAGCCAAGAAGCTCCAAAAATTACTCAGAGTAGTTAAGCATGCATATACATTGGACATTGGGAAATATTGTATACTCTTTACAGTACCCCCCTCCCCATCTCCCCTTTATCCTTTAGTATGGTGTCGATAATTTCACTTGTCTGCAGTGTCTACATTGTTTATCTCCCTTCTTCTCTTCTCTCCTCCTTCCATCTCATCACTCTTTCCTCTTTTCCCCTGGTTTCTTATCACACCCTGCCCTCTCATCTCCAGGCAGGAAAGGAGAGGGAAAACAGACCAGGGTGGAAGAAGAGATAGTGGGAAGAAGAGTGACAGCAGCTTACAGGGAATTGGATGGGGGCTTTTTTCCTGTGTATGTGTGTTTTTTTTTATCTGACTATCCAACTGTCTCTTTCTCTCTCTCTCTCACACACACACACACACACACACACACACACTACACACACACACACACACACACACACACAACACACACACACACACAACACACACACACCACACACAAATACACACACACGTAATCCAAGGGTCTTTTCTGTCGAGTTCTGTATGTCTAAGGGTCCTCGGCTTCTCTAACACACACACACACAGACATGCACACACACAATGGATACCTTGAATGCGCACCTGCCTATATACAACTGTTCACATAAAACCTGCAGGGAAACACAGGAATGTACACTGACAAAAAATATCTGTAAAAACGCATGCTCTACATTTGTAAGCAAAGGAACATGCAGCACATGCAGGCATTTGCACCCCTCCCACTCCATCCCATGCAAGCATACTGCCTTTGTCCTACCTGTTACTGTGAATCAGCATTCTGCCTGAATTATAGGGCTGCGTTATGGATTCTCTCCACAACCCACACAATCTCTAGACATTGCTCAAAGACAACACACACACACACACACACACACACACACATTCACTCACACACACACACACACACACACACACACACACACACACACACACCAGCAACACACAGCAGCAGCAGAAACCTCACCAAGAGTCATCTGTGATGCCTTTAAATGAAAAAAAAATCGCTTACCTTCAAGTTCACCCTGTTGGTGTGACTCTATTTACACCACCACAGAAATGATACAATCACTTAACAGTGACCATACGAAATACAAGCTCTCCTGAGTTCACACTTGTAGGCTTCTCCATAAATTCCAAAGATGATATTGCGGGGGGTGGGGAGGGGGTACACTACTCTTATAACCTATTGAAGTGTATCGAAGTGTGTTTGTGAGGGTGCGCTGATCCTCTCAAACCGCCAGGCCTTAATTAAGCTAACTCCTCCATTGTTCAGATGACACTAACAACACAAGCAATCCCTGCACATTAGGCAAAACTCTCCACAAACCCCTCTCTCTCTGCTGTAGTAGTTTTTACAGAGCACTTTAACAAGCATAACAGCTCCACATCATTACACACACTCACACACACATAATATATGAGTATCATTATGCTCACTAACCAAGCAGAAATGTTTGACTAACATTAGATCAGTGGGGAACACACCAGTTTTCTTCACTGGTAAGTCAAATGAACCCCCCACCCTGACAAGCCCACCCTATCAACACATACACACACCCACATTAATAAATAAAATAAAAATATCTGCATCTCTACCTGGGCTCTAAAACACAACCTGTAACACAGTAACTTAACTACCATTAGGCTTCTTAAGACATTACGACATTAGCAGTAGACGCAAATGAACAACGTGCTGTGCCTCATGGGGGAAACATAACAGATACCAGATATTCCAGTGAAAAATCAAAACACACATGTTATTTATTCCCTCTATGCCAGCCTGTTAGGCATACCTCTGCCCTTTCTGTCTTCTGCCATATGTCCTACATCACTCTTTTCCCCCTATTACTGCTCACTTGCCTCCTCCTCCACCGCTTGCCCTCTCTCTGTACAATTGCCATAGCCTCAGACTAATGGAAGTAAGCAAGCCAATTGAACAGTCCAAGCCAACAACATACACAAAAACACACACACACACACACACACACACACACACACACACACACACACACACACACACACAAATAAGCTATAAATTCTATTCATATGTATAAAAGCAATATTCATGTAGAATAATTACATTTGAATGTATACATCAATTGACCTCATAAATTCAGGTTTGCTCGACGGTAACCCTGGAAAAAACATAAATCATTTATATCACATGCAAATCTAATTTGCTTTACTCTGCAGTACATATTTAAAGCATTAGTGTGGGATGTTCCATCCATAGTCACACAAGTTGAGCAGCCAGCAAGTGCACCATAATCTGTACTGTGGAAAAAGCAGATAGAGAAAGACCCGACCCTCTCCCTTCATCTCTACTTCCCCTCTTTTTTCTTCCATTTCTCGCTTCTTCTTCAGTCATCATCTCTGCTTCCCTCTAACTTCTTTTGCTCCTCATTCACAATTGCAATGTCACTCAAATAAGCACGGTATGCTGGCACAGAGGTCGGCATTGCACCATTCAAGGCTGGGTGTACTGGCAGAAATTAAACACATGCTTTGATGCTTTTATCTTTAAATCAGCAGCTACATTTCGCTTTCACTAAATCTCTGAATGCCAAACATCTCTAAATCTGCATCAGCAATCAACCCCCTGAAGGCAGCTTTTACATTATGCACTTAAACAACCAGGCACATCAGCTAAACAAGCAACCAGCGGGTGACCTTGGCCAACTAAACTATTCATGATCTGAGTGGAGCAGCTGAATGTCAAACCACTACACAAAAGCACAAGAGAAACTAGTCTCCTTTATATTGAACTTAATTTCTCTCTAAAAAAAAGTATAAATAGTCGATGAAAGAATTCCATTTAAAGTTCCAATAACATCATGGAATCATATGTACCTTTTTTTGTTGTCTGCAACATCAAGAAACACAGCAGCCCAGCAGAGAGTCATGTATTTGATGTCCAAAATAAACTACTCAGGTAGCAGGCTCTCATTTCAAGCATTGTTGCCTATTTTGTTGGGTCACTTGTAAACCCCTAAAATACAATGCACCTGGCTAGCACTATATAGACAGAAACACTCAGTAATCTAGCCTCATCCCTGGAGATTACTAGAAAACGTATTTCCACCATGTCAGACAAAGAAAAGCAACTCTACAACTGAACTCATTTTATATTGGTCAAATATTGCCCATCCAAGACATACAGACAACCATCAAGGTCGGTAGGTAAACCGTTTGCTGTTTGTGTAGATATGTACTAAATAACACATACATGGATGGGTAGCTGTACCAGGGGGCAGAAGGGTAGAATATTAGATGGAAAAACAAACAGGTTGAAAGTGAGGCAGAGGAAAATGAAAACCATGTGAAATCAGGACTCATGGGAGGAAACAGATGAGTGACTTTGTGCAAATGTCATCTCATTAGAAGGAGGAGGGAAAGAGGGAGCAGAATAACGAGAAGGCAACTGCAGCAGTCCATAGTAAATTTACTCCACGCTAAAGCACAAAGTAGGCCCCACACTGCGGAACAGAGAGAGAGAGATGGACTGTTCAGAACACCAGCCAGGGACACCATGCTCCATATTTTATTTTATGAAATTATGCCTCTTGTCCTCCCCTCCTCTTTTCTGAAAAAAAAAGAGACAACGACACAGATTTGTTAATCTTTCTTACATACAATAGCTAAAACTGTGGCACACTGCTGAGCAGCACAAATGACTGCAACTTTTCCCAAACTTGCAGTATTTTCAGAAAGGAGAGTGGGCCATGGTCTCAGGGGACCTGAAATTCACTAGCAAACAATACGAATGGAGAGCTTTAGAGCAAAGGCAGCAGCAGAACTTGCAGAGGGTTGAGATTCACCTTCTCTCCCTCACTCTCACTATACAATTTTCTGCACCCCTTTCTTCTCTCTTTCTCCCCCACCTCTCACTTTCTCTCCAACATACTGGGTCAGCTGAGCTCCTGCACTGCAGCATAGATGAGTGATGTGTTAAAGGGTTTTTCATGATCTCAGTAGTAAGCAAACTGTAGCTTTTCTTTTTTTTTTTTGGTGGGGGGGGCTTTTCATTATGCTTTTAAATTCTCTTTTTATGAAAAAGGACAATCTTAAACCTTATATTAATTATATTAATGCTTATATTAATTTGCAGAGGCACTGAAAGTCATCACAAAGTGTTGTGATGAAATGTTTCTATGCAGATGAAAATGTAGTCTTCTAGGTCAATAATGTCCACATCCACAAGGCACAAGAGGTCATCAGTGAGTATGAAAATGATATGCTACTTGCTTTGCAATCACCAGAGCTCCACCCATTTGGACGCTTATGGGAGATTTTGGGCTCATATATTAGAGAACATGCTTCGTTACAGACATCAAAGCTCTAAATGAGGGCATAAATATTTAAAGGTTCTATTCCTACACAGAACAGATTTATTTTAAATCACTTAAGCTCATCACTATTGAATGAAATGTGCTTATATCATGTAAAAGAAAAGTCTTTCTGTTCACAGATGCTAGTGCTATGGCCAAACCTACAGCAGATTTAAATTTAGCACTTTCATGACACCACAAAGACAACCAGAAGTTAGTTGAGTCATCAGCATTATCACAGAAAACTTAGATAAGCTCTGAGAAACAAAATAAATATAGAAAGGCGCGTTACCCAAGTCTCCCACCACACACCAACACACATATGCATAAAAAGTAGAACGTGCCTTTGTATACAGCACCTGCAATAGACTGCAACTTCAGCACCATGGTCAGAGACAGATTGGCTTTTTCAGCAAACTGGAGATAATTCTCTGTTTCCCAAATGGAGAAAGCATATCAAGCATTACACACACACACACACACACACACAACAAAATATACACACACACACACACACACACACACACACACAAATGCAAAATATACATGGTCACAACCCTTGCTTCCTAACACGCTGTCTCTGTACTTTATACTCTTTCATTTCAGGCTCTTCAAGGCTGACTGTGTGTCTTTCTATCTATCTTCCATCATCCTATCATTATGTCCTCTGCCTTCTCCTCTGGCAAACTATACCACCTATAACACCATACCTAACACCATTTGAGATCAAATAAAAGTCTGCATGTCACAGTCAATTTTGGGTTACTGATTCCATACAACATAAATATTTTCCACTTACATTTACATCAAATGCTTGGAATAAACTCAGTAGTTTGGAGAGCCCACAAAAGCTTATCTAATAAACTTGTGGTATAGCTAAATTTGAGTTCATATGAAACAGCACGGCCATGGTCAAGGATTAAATCAGTCAATTAAAATAGAATTATCTGTTATTTGTGTTCGTTTGCTTGCATTTGCCTATATTATATTATACTTCTTACATTTTTGTGATAACTGCATGATGAAAAAAGGCAGTCAGTCTAAAATTACCAGTAAACTACCAATCAGTTTTCATCAATAGCCTGATAAAATTAAGGTGGAAACAAACAAAAGCTCTTGCAATATCAGCACAGATCTTCTCCTTCAATATGATTTCGAATTTGTTTAAATAATTAGATGGAAGTCTTCAGAATTTTCAGTGATCCCAATACCCAATGGAGCCAAAGCCCAGAATCACAATGAAGCATTTAGGCAGGCAGTAAAACATAAGTAGAGAAAAGAATCCATAAAACAGAGATACGGTAACACAGTGAAAGCAAAGAACAAACCAAAACAGCACCAAAAAACCCCACATTAGCCTTGCTGGTGTAGAAACCTTGAGAGAAGGAATAGGTTAACTCAAATGCCAATTTCAACATCAATAGGTAAAAGCAATTTTCCACATGGAAAAGAAACATGCATCAATCCTGTTCTCCTATTGGTCGCCTTTATCTAGCATTCCACTAAAGTATGAAATCACTTGGAGATATTAGCGCAGGATAACAAGAGGATTTATTGGGATAAAACCACTCAGCATGAGATAATGGGACAAAGCCCAGCACTCATTTGTGAAATACTATGGTGGGTGGGTTAGGATAAAAGGTAGCCAAGAAACTGGGGTAAAGCAAAATTATCAGTGATCCCATTTTTTTTATGAATCATTAAAAAAGAAATGATGGTGTGACTTGCAAGTCGACAATGTAATGCATTATATTTTTAATCAAATTGAGTGCACACTAAAAATGCTGATCATATATTTTGACCTTAGGGTCAGTCAGATAAAGGAAGCTTTTATGTGTGTTGCTAAGCATATATATATATATATATATATATATA